CCAGCTCGACGAAATGACTTCCGAATGCCCCAAACTCGTGCTTAGCCTTTCCTTTGACGCCTGGGACCTGAAATATGACAAAATAGCACAACCCGGCGTAAAATAGGCCAAAAGTACACGACTATGCCCCTCAAACGGATAAGAACTAGGGGCGCAAATATGTGCAATTACATCGTTATCACATATGTTGAAGTAAATAACATTTATTAAAATTAAAACAACATTTGGTCATTTTGAAACCTTTCACCTCGCTTTATTCATTTGATATTTTAATTAGTTATATAATATTTGTATGGTGTAGAATAATTACATTTTTATTGTTGGGTTGGCTTTTTACTTAAAACATCGCCAACCGACCCAACCCAATTAGAAACAAACCGTAGGGTTTTAATTTTTTTGGCTGGGTTTGGATTTAATATTTCCCAAACTGTAGTGCATGGGTCGGGTGATTAAAATGACTAAACCCGGACCACACGACCCATGTACACCCCTAGTTTTAGTTAGGCACGAGTCAGTACTAAAACACATCCTGCATCTATTATAAGCTCACTGATCATGTTGTTATGATTTATAATTGAAATATAGCAATACATACTAAAGATGCATTGATAGAAGGGGAAAATGTATCAAATAAGGGACTGATGAACACTATAATTTGAGCATCATCAGGGGATTCCTACGCTTTAAAATTGTTTGGTGGATGCTCATCAAGCCACAGTCTTTCTTTTATAGTTAACTGATTCGGACCTAATTGTACATGTTTTACCCCTGTTTTCCTTAGGCGTTTGTGGCAATTTCGCTCCTAAAAGGGTGGTTTTACGCTAGGTTTCTTGTGTTTTAGCGTGTTTCAGGATCTAACCGATGAAATTAGCCCCGGATTCGAAAGTTGGAAGAAAAGGAGCAAAGAGGAGGAAACAACCTGTGATCAAGGTCTACCAATGGAGTTCACGGTTTTACAAGACTGTGAAATGTAGCCAAAATTCGTGAACCGCGAAGCGTTCAGGGCGAATCCAGATGTTACTGATGCTTGGATGTGAAGCGGTGCGTTTTGGTCTCGGCACTGAGTTCACGGACGTGTTTCAATGTTCACGGCCGTGAACTGAGGTCTAACACCGTGAACTACTCAACGCGTCCTTGAACTAAGCCCGTGAACTGCTCAACACGTCATTGAGCTTAGCTCTAAGACCTTGAACTGAGCCTGATTTGGGTATAAAAGGAGCGGGAGCTGAAGGAGAAGAGAGAGCTTCATTTTTCGGTTAGGTTTTCATTTTCATAATAAAAGAGGATTCTAGTGAGAGGTTAGGGTTTCTTCTAGAGTGAGAAAGTGCAAATCAAAGGAGGAAGAAAGAGCTTTAGGCATGTGCCTAGCTAGAGGATTGAAGATTTCTTCATCTCAAGGGTGTCTCAAGCAACAAGGAGGGAAGATTGACATTACTTCATGGTTCTTCCTTCTATTTTTGTTGTTTTCTCTTGCTTAGCTATGGAATAGCCTACCTATTCACTTGGGTGTTGTAAACCCTAGCCACAATTATGTGAATGCTTATGTGAATTGAATGATTGTTTATGGGTGTTGTTTAATTTAATGAGGTATTATTCATGTTAATTGTGCATGCTTGTGCTTAGCAATCTAAGGATTGTGCATGTTTTGTGCTTAGGCTCCTTAGATTTGTGCATTTTGGTGCTTAGCAACCTAAGGATTGTGCATGATTGTGCTTAGCATCCTTAGATTTGTGCATGTTGGTGCTTAACAATGTAATTAGCCACTTTAACCTAGATTAGAGAGGAAAATCCCCCTTTCAAGGGAGACTCAATCGAGCTGGCTTTCCATTAGCTTTTTAAGTCACCTAACTAGGTTAAATTAGGGCAAACCTCAATGTTGAATTAAGCAAATTGGTTAAGCGCGATTAAGCCGTCCAACCCTTGAGTTGAGTGAGGGAGTGAGTCAACCAGCGACTTCCTAAACCGAGAGGGTCGAGTGACGCGGCCTATAATGTATACCTTGGTTTAGCAATCGAGAGTGTGGTATACGACCATATTTGCATCCCTCTGCAGTTCGCGGTTACCTTGCACATAGCGATCGTTTCAATTCACATACCATGGTAGTAGTTGGGGGAAGCAACACCCGAGTGAGGTCCTCTCATATAGAATTTCCCTCAATTTACTTTACTTGCTTGTTTTCATTTTTAGTTTTCATAGGTTTAAACCCAAAAAAACCGTTTTGCTAGATAACAACTTAAGTGATTGAAGTAGGGGTACATGGACCAGTCTCGGGTTAACAATTTAAATACTTTCCCTATACTGCACCCGGCTAGAGTTTAAAAACTTGGGCTCTAGTCGTGATTAATTTGTGGTATAGTTTCGTGCGAGTTATTAACAAAAAATAAAAAGTCTTAGACATAGTGCTTCTTTTTCTCCTCCGTTTGCAAATAGGCAAATTTATTGAGAAAATTCTTAATGTGTAAGATAAGATCTTTGTCATCTTCTCCTGAGAAACGCTTCATTTCTTGCACCATTCTAATTAAGGATGGTCTTATCTCGACATTTATTGAGTTGATCATGCTGGACAAGAGCTTTGATACCCTTGGTCGAAAATAGTGAAAGAGTGATAAGGCAACCATCTTTCCTTTGAAGCAGCTTCTAATATTGTATCCATTTGTGATTTTGAATGCTATCTTCATTGTAGGTTCGAGTTCTTCAAAACAAAACACACTAGTGCATAGTACTAACTCGTCAATAGTATTCACATCGCAAACGACAACGACATTAGCTAGCCAAAAGAGAGAGAAACGACAAGGACTCCAATTTACGGATCTATTTTAAAAACAAGTAGTTGTCCGGATCTGCAATCAAAGATCATCGCTTAATCGTCGCCGATATTAATATCAAAGCTAGATCTTCACAGCTTCCTCACGAACTACAGAGAATGAAAAAAATTCATTGAAATAAAAGTCATCACCAGAATTGAATCTTGAAATAATAAACCCTCAAAAGGGAATTGGACACAAATCCACATTGTTCCTCATCTTAAAGTAGATCTACACCAGCTGCGTCTCCCTCTGCTGCGGTGAATCCGGCCTACCTAAACCATCATCGCTTTCACTCTGCAACATTCATTTTCCCTCGTCTTTCATCCTCTTCCCCTGTTTCAAATCGGTAGCCGCCAACCACCGGAGCCACCATGACCATTTACCATTTCTCTATCTGAAATCCCCTTGTTTCTTTGTGACCTAAATCGAGCCTCAAATTTTCATCTTTCTTGCGCACTAGTATGCACCATCGGAGTAGCCGGTGGAGGCAATAGGAGTATGACTCATTGTTGACTGAACATGTAGATCTAATTGTCAGGCCTTTTCGAGAAGCTTGTCATCAACCCCTTTTCTTTGAGAAGAAGAAAGAAGAAGAAGAAGAAGAAGAAGAAGAAGAAGAAGAAGAAAGGAAGATGGTGGTAAGAGGGGATGGGAAGAGAAGAAGCGGGTAAGAGGAAGGTGAGAAACAACAGGAAGAGGGTTCTCATGAAAAGGGTTCTAAAAAATTGGTCAAAAAGGTGAAGAAGAGGGGTAAGAGATGAAGAATCCGGTTAAAACAACCTTTAGATGAATGGATTATTGATTGATTGCTTAAATTGTACATAATGGGTACACTACTTATACATGAAGGAAACCCAACAAGGAATAATTGACAACAACGATAACCATGCTAGACTGGAAGCAAGGGTTGTAGCATAGTAACATGGGTGTGCTGCTGGAGTGCAGGATAGGATGTGTTGCATGCTGGGCTTCATGGGTGGCTCGGGAGCTATCTTTAGTACAGCTCATGGCATGGACATATATGATATGCAACAATCTCTCTCAAACTTAGACATGAATGACAAGAATGTCAAACTTGAAAAGGAAATCTAAAGAGTGGAAAAGGGGACGATCATGCTGGGATCATGATTGCCTTTTGAACATCTTGGACAAGGTTGTCGTTGGATGCCACTGATGGAATCTCTTCGAGCAACCTGATGGATATGTCAACTTAAATCAACTCACTATTTAGGGTTTGAGCCGTTTACGATTTCCATGAAAAGTTGCTTTTTCTCACCTAATTTTGCTCTTTTTGGAATAGAGGCTACTCATTGGCTAGCTGGCTTTTCCTTTAGCTTTTTGTTGGAACTTCAATTTGGGATATGCTGCGACTTCTTGGCTAGCTAGCATTCCTTGCAATACTTCCCTATTCTCCCCCTCAAGCTGGAGCATGAACACTGTGAATGCCCAACTTGAAAGGTGAAGAATAATTGGTCTTTGCCCACTAATGAACAATGAGGGGATGATATTTTCTTGGATCACGACTTCCTTATGAATGTCGAGTGGACGATTGCTTCTTGGATTGTACTAAAATTTAAACGTTGAGGGGACGATTTGACACTGACTTGCCTCGTGAAGCTGCGGGGCTATCTTTTCTAAGGTGTGTCTGCCCTTTGGACGTCGAGGGGATGATCTCTTCTTGGATCGTACAACCGTCTAATAACTCAAAGGGAACGACCTAATCAGGAATACCTCACATAATGGATAGACAAACATTGCACGCAAAAGCTTTCTCTCTCCAACACTGGCTAGTGAAGGGGCGTCCATTCTTTTGGTTCGTAATTTTCTTCACTACTACCATGTTTAGGGAGGATTTGCATTCTCTTTTACAAATGAAAATTCTTCACAATCTAAAAAGGACCTAAGACAAAGGGAACATATACACCACCAGAATAAGACTCCTGCTGCAACAATCTTCAACCACCTGTATGTTACAAGACTAACTTGTTCTCTGAACCTGCTGAATTGGGCCGATCAAAAGAATTTCACACAAGTGAAATATGTGATACTCTTTTGGCCCCATATCATCTCTTCATGGGTCAAGTAGATTTGACCCAATGAAGTAGATCTGACCTGCTGTTCTTTTCTTTCTTTTTTCCTCTTTCTTTGCTACTGTTCTCTTTGCTGTTCCGCTCCACTCCTTGTGGCGCTGCTGACTCTGCAATGCTTTCATTAATATAGTTCATCACTTTCATAAAATTTGACCCAATGAAAGGAGAGGAACTGGCCGCATCTCATCTTGGAATAGAAAACTTGACTACGTGAAAAGTTTGATTTGGCCCAATCCGTATTTTGTTGACTGCTAGCGCGAACCGTGAGCTGGAAGGTGCCTCTGCATTTCGTCTTTCACTCCCAAAAGGCCAAGACTAGGTTTCTCCGCCTCCTTCTTCTCAGTTTCTTCCTTCTCTTTGGTTCAACTATCTTGGCAATCTTGTTGACGCAGCTGGAGAGAAAAAGGAAACGAATTGTCGGTAGAGACTGTCACATCACGAGGTACAAGAGGTGATGATGATGGCTGGGTTGGAGGTTGAGAAGATGCCGAATACCAGGCGGTGCAGTCGCTTTTGGCGGTGGATCTGATGCTAGATCTAACTCGTTGAGATAGCAATGACGAGCCGCGATTGCGGAGAAGCAACGAACAATGACAAATTCTGAAACAGTGGCCAACAGAAGAAAGGGCGATGTTGATCAACGAGGGGGGAATTGCGGCGAACTCTACTGCTCTGCTTCTTCCCTTCCTTACCGTCATCAAAGTGGTGGCACTGTGAGGTTGGGGTGAATTTAGGTGACGACGAGCAGCTGGTGGCGGCAACGATTCATTGCAAAAATGGCCTAGAGAAGGGGATTTGAATCAATATCACAGGCGACGATGACTGGTGATGATGTTGCAATCTGGATCCTACACCAGAAATGACAATATTTTAGCCGACGGACCGGAAAGACGTCAGTAGCGCAGCTAGAACTGGATTTGATGGGGGTGGTAACAGGGACATCTACCCTATCTTGATCCAGATGAGTCATCATGCAAATTGACAGATATGCAATGAGCAACGGTGGGAGGGAAGGAATTCACCCTCGAACTACGGCTCTGGGATGGAGTCTACAATAATGACTAAAGCGTTGGAATCAGCCTTCGAAGTCATCGGACTGACTTCTGAAGCAGAGAACAGAGGTAAGTACCTCTTCCTTTGATGTTAACAGCGGATGGCGGAAGCATGAAATGGCGATGATGATCTTGGAGAATGCTCCCTCATGGCTAGAAATGAAGAAAACTTTTGTATACTAGAAACCGAAGAACAAAAGAATGAAGATTTGGAAGAAGGGTATGGAACTCGATTATTAATTAATTGCTTGAATTGTACCAAATGGTTTCTACACTACTTAGGGATGGTATCGGTAAACCGGTATCCGGTATAACCGGCTACCAAGCCGGTTACCGGTGGTATCGGTATACCGAATACCGACGGTATCGGTATTCAGATGTAAAATTTTCCAATCGATAATACCATATACTTGGCGGTAATTACCGACTGTAGATCGGTATACCGAAACAAAAATACAAAAGTAAAACGCTGCGCAGCTAGGGGTGTGCAATGGTCCGGTCCGTACCGGACCACACCGGACCAAACCGTTGTTAAGACCGGACCGGACCAGACCGAGTAAAATACGGTCCGGTCCTTGGTCCTAATGAATTTTATAATTACTGAAGAAATGGTGGACCGAGCTCATATTTGGACCGGACCGAACCGGACCAAATGGACCGAATGCAAGAATGGTCCGGTCCTTGGTCCTAACATGTCTTTCACTAATGGACCGCGGTTCTCATGAGTTTTGTCCGGTCCGGACCGAACCGAACCGTTGCACACCCCTATGCGCAGCCGATTGGATTTGGGGGAAACTAAACCCTAATGCAAAATCAATCTCGCCTCCCCCGCTGCACGCTACACTCGACCATCTCCTCTGATTCTCTCCGGAAAATTGATCTCGCCTCCCCCAACCCCGGGTATCTCCGTCTTCCTCTTCTCTTCACTAGCAGCAGCAGTCTCCAATGGAGAGAGCTACACCACCGGCCGCCGCTTCCTGAAACCGACAGCAGGGTTCTACTCTGACCATGATTGATGATTGAAGAACGAATCGAAGAGGCAGAAGAAGAAGAAAGGAAGGATTTATAAGTCAAAAGAAGGGGAGAAGGACATGGGAGGCGGCGAGTGTTTGCTGAGTTTGAGGGCAGAGATTCCGGCGGCGATAGTTATTCTTCCCCATTATACCCGAATGCTGAGAGTTTTGTAACGACGACTTCATGTGAGAATTCTCGCCCGAATATGTTCTGTCCCTCCTCCATTGTCCCTGCTAATTATCAAACTCTGATTTCATCCTTCCTTCTAAATTTCTGATTCCCGGACAAAGCAACTATTACTTTAATCATGTAATTAGGAAATTAAATGTACTAAGAAACTTTTCAAAAAAAGTACAAAAACACAGTAGTTCTCATCGGTTTTCGGGATACCGGGTACATACCGGATACCGATTACTCGGTATACCGGTATGCCGATTGAGATTCGGTATTGGTATTCGGCAGCCAGGACGCCAGCACTCGGTATACCGAATACTGGGTAATCGGTATCCGGTATACTGGATACCTACTGATTACCAGCCGTACTTATACATGAAGGAAAGACAACAAGGAATAATAAATAACAACAATAATCATGCTAGAATCGAAGCATGAGATGAAGCTGAGCAACATGGGTGTGTTGGTGGAGTGCACGGTAGATGGGCTACTTGCTGGGCATCATAGGTGGCTCTGGAGCTGTTTGGAGTATAGCTCACGACATCGCAAAATATGATATTCAACAAGAGAGAGGGTCTAAGGGTTGGGAGGGGCTGCATGCGGGGTATATTAGTGACAAGGGTTCTTGAAAATAAGCTTAGGAGGGAATTTATTTATTTTGGGGAGTAGTAGGGTTATCGGCGTCGTGTTTCAAATTTTGGGCAAAAAAATTCCAAACAAACAAATTCTAAATTAATGTCGGTTTTAATCAGCACAATTTAAAATTTTGTGTCGTTATAACGGATATAACATATAACTGACACAGACAACCGAAAACTTATTTTTCAATAAACAAATTTGGGCTAATACCAATGGGACCGGAACTATCAAGAAATTATCATTTGTGTCCCGAACTATTCAATATTCCATTTATGTCCCAACGTATGATATTTTTGTATAATATATGTCCCGACAATTTCATTAACAGTTATGGATAACGGTTGACCAGATGGTGGTCAACTTGATTTTGACTTATGAGCGAAATCAACGGAGCAATTAAGATGATTTCGGGATTTTTGTAACTTTTTATTTTTCTTATTTTAGTCATTTAGGTGAAAATAGAAATAAAATTAATATTTAAAATTTCATATCAGATGTCACGTCGACACTGATTGAATTTTCTAGTTCAATATTGATGGCTAAACTCTGTCAACAGAAATGGAAAAATAGTTAGGATATAAATGTCCCATTGAATAGTTCGGGACACAAGTGACACTTTCTTGATAGTTTAGTTTTAATTTTGTGTTAGTTGTGGCCGACATAATTCACAATTTTAAAGCGACACAAAATAACTAACGCTGATAACCCAAAAATTGGGTCGGTTCTTTTGACCGACACTAATCCAAAATTTTGTGTTAGCTCACTTAACCAAAACGAAACAACCAATACTAAACACCTTTTTTTCTTGTGGTTAGTCTATGACTCTTGTGCGAGTTTTTGTGTGTAAAAGTTGTGTTTAAAGCTCTATCCTAAGCTTCTCTTTGCACTAGTAGCTAAAGGGTGATACTGGTTACGAACGATGTGGTATTAGGGGATTTTTTTGCCCAAAGGGGTCCGAATACTAATCCAAAATGGTTGAAAATAGAATGTTCACTTGAGACGAAGAAAGAAGCTTCTAGAAGCTTTTTAGGCCAGCGGCAGCCACACGCCGGCCTAGACCGCCATCAATCCTTCTTCTAATGGGTTGATTTTTGGTGTTCTAGTTCATCTTGGACTAATTGATTTGATTCTCAAATTCATCTCAATTTGACTTTGTTTGACCCGCTTTGACCATGGTCGAAGATGAGCCTGCTGCATTGTTTGGCCTTCTTTTTTGGGCCATAAAATAAGCATTCCATGTCCAATTCAATATCCATTTGCAACCACGTGTTTGTATGTATGACCCATTTTCTCATGAGTATATTTTATCCTTGAAATGGAGAATATAGGCATAAAATAATACAAAACACACTCAAAGGAGAAATTAGGCACATTGTGTACATAATTATGATATTTATATGAAATATGATAAAAATAGTAAAAAAAATATTGTTATGAGGCAAAATATATAAAATATAGGATCTTGGGAACACTATCATTTACTGTTATCACACAATATCTTCAGTGATTGCTACATCATACTCATTTTGTTGTTGAAAGGAGTCAAAAGATGTGGGTTTGAGGAAATTTGATTTTCACTATTCGTTCATAAGTCCGTTAAGTCAAGTACCAAGTTGATTCTAGGCTCCACGCGGAAGGAGGGTTCTAATTAAGGTGTAAAGGAGGTTCTTCTTAGAATGATAAATGATTTTGGTATCTAAGGTGGTACGATTGGTGAGCATAGAGGGGGTTGTGCTTGAAATCCATAGGGATCCATGTTTCAAAACTCAAATCACATAATTAACATAAACCAGCCTTCAGAGAGAAGTGTGGTGGACAAAACTACAATATACATAAAAATGAAAACACAAGATAACGAACAAAAGAACACAAACAAAATACCACACTCAAACAAAACAAACGCAAACACAAGACTAAATTTCTAGTTGTAAGCCTTTCATAATAACCTAAATGTTACCCATAATGGTGCCAAAAACTTGAGTGGATGCAAAGCTTATAAGATTCGGTGCTCTGCTACTCTACTATACTAATGGTGTCAAAAAATTGACTGGAGGCAAAGTTGATAAGATTTGATGCTTTGCTACTCTACTACACCATTCCAGCCATGTATAACTCAATTAAGTGGCATAGCGTAGTGGTGACCAAGGTTGTATCCTTTGGTTCCAAAACCCAACTTTTTTTTTTTTAACAAAAGATAATCATATATTGATAGCAAAAATCGATAGTTACACCCTGGAACCAAGCCAGGCCAGAAAATCAAAATGCCGACTCATAGTCGGGTACAAAGAAAGGGCCTTTCTAGCCACTAAATGGGCCACCCTATTGTTACCCCGCCCTACAAATCGAATAACTAACCCAGGATGAGCGTGAAAATAGAATCTAATCTCCTCGAGCACCGCCCCCACCCGGTTATCTCTAGTATCAGCCTTGTTGATCTTATCAATGAGAACTTTAGCATCCCCCTCCAATCTGACCTCCGAGAATCCCATCCCTAAACACCAAACATTGGCCTCTCTAAGGACAAGCAATTCCACAACCATGGGGTCATCTAATGACTGAAACTGAACACCTTTCGCCATAAGGATCGCCCTCTCCGGATTCATAAGAACTATTCCGCCAGCCGAATGCGATCCTCTTCGAGTGGCACCATCCCACATACAAATCACCCTGCTGTCATCTAGCGAGCTGCCAAGGATAGGCTCTGGCACCGACCGCATCGACTCGGCATTAGGGGAAAGCCCAATCCACTCCTCATACTGTTGATGAAGCTGTCGCATCAAAGCCGGGATCCCGAATTGTTTACCCTCAAATACCACCCAATTTCTAGACCGCCAGATTCTCCACAGGACGGCCACCACCAGCATGAATAACTCAGGGTTATGAATCAATGTCAACAATCTCTTCAGAAAGAGCGGGAACGTATGCCTAGGCAACCCCTCCCCAAGATATTCCAGACCCGAATAGTCCCAGAGGGCACGGGCAACGGGACACTCCAAGAATACATGCTCTAACGTTTCCCTGCCCTCCCAACAAACTGGGCAACGAGGGTGCACCGAAACTTTTCTTTCAATTAGAGCCTCAGTCGTTGCAAGAGCACGATTGAGGATCTTCCAAACAAAGACTTTTAACTTGGGAGGAATACTCGCGTTCCACAAGCACCCAACTAGCCTTATCCATCCAACCCACCATAGATTTCCAACCACCCTTCCTCCTATACAAGGCTACAGCCAGATGATAAGCAGACTTCACGGAAAAAACTCCATCCACAGTGTCATGCCAGATCAGCCTGTCCTGCACTTCCCGCCGAGGCAAGGGGATT